ATGCGGAAACATCTAAGATGTTCCCAGACTTTAGTAATGGGTGTGAAACGGTTGAATTTGTTCGAAAAGCTTTCCCAAGACTCTTTTTTTGCTGCGTTGATGACTTCTTTTGCGTTCCTGATTTCGTTCCTGAGCTGAATTTCATGAGCAACACAGGGGCAGGCCCTACATTTCCGTAGGGCTCTGCGGCGCCTCGCGACTGCTTTTTGACAGTTTTCCGTCCACCACGGGGCGTGTTTGTAACCTCGCCGTCTCGCACCATTTCAAACACGCCAGCCCGGTGGCGGACCGTTGTGAGCGGCTCAGTCCGTGTCCAGGATCATCCCTGGAGCCCGATCGTGACCGAGGAGTGGCACGGACGGGCAGTCCTTGTCACAGGACGACCTTGGTCACGGGCCGCTCCCAGCCCCCAACCGGTCAGCGGGGGGGGGGGGGCGAAAACGGCACACCTGGGAAAACTGACCATCGGCCAACAGAGAGGAGCCCTGCAGCCGAGTTTGGAGGCATCAATAGCCAAAGAAAGAGCTTTACAGCCATAGGAAAACCTACAGGCCCCGTCCAACTATTTTGAACAGAAAACCACTGAAGGCTATCGTTTGATTGACTATCTTAGTCATAAAACGTGTGCATAAAACAGTGAGCCGTGAAGCAAAAAGTCAACAATGACCAAAGTACCGATAGCCCGGTATTGTCACGACGCTACTGCCCATGGCAACGGTGGGCGTTTGAATTTAGCAAAAAAATCCAACAACAACAACACGCTTGGCAACAACCGCCACGTCACAATACTCACTATTTATAGATGCATATGCCTTGCGGCTTCACTCCTCTGCCATATCCCAGTCGATGGGACGCGAGACACGACACAACCGCACAGCGGGCGAGTTTCCTTTGTTTATGCGGGCCGCGGCCGAGCGGCTCCCAGTCCCCTACTACGCAGGCGAGCGGCGGCAGGCGCCGCCCCCTCCGCCGAGCGGCGCCGTGACGTCACACATCGGCCCACGGCACAGGGTAGTCGCCAGCCCGGCCGGCACAGGATGGCCGCGCCGCAGCCGGACAAAGAGCCGGGCGACGGTCGCGGGCTCGGCTGAGGGCGAGCGTACGCTGGAGGCTCCAGGACAATGGCACAGTGGCTACATGGGAATGCCACGGCCGATTTTTCGCTTGTGCCACGCAGAGTACGTTGGCGAATGGTAGGCACTCCTGCTCCGCCCGTTTCACCGCAGTACTCCGCCCGGTACCGCCTTAGTAACAAGGCCGGGATGTTTGCACGCCGATAACCAGTAAACGCTGGTATAAACTGACAGCGGTAGTGTGATTTTGGGCAGCGCATGAACGCGTCTGCCCGGAGGCACATTCAATCACGATACCTGGCGTTGGTAGCGTCACTTTTCAAAGACCTGACCTGACGCAGGGCAGAAGACAGGACCAACAGTTGAGCTGAGTACGCCACTGGTACCAAGTGCCAAGAAACCGATCTTGTCAGCTCACGGTATGCAAATGCTCGCCAAATATGCGTCAGAGACCTACACTGAGTGACGGGCCGACGCCACAGACTTGCTCATCGATAAGTCGCTTCCAGAAACACGAGCGAGCTTGTCGCTTCCTTATGTCCTACGCGTTCTACGCCACAGTAACTCCCCGGATATAACTAGCATCATCCTTACGAAATCCCCAGCGTCGTCATACTCATCATGCTTCTTCCACAATGATGAAAAGTCGATCGCGCTTTCGTCACCGGGGTACGTCGCTGCTCGCGTCCAGTGACGCACCAGTGACGTTACGCGTCCTCCGTAACGTCACGTCGCGTGACGAAGTAACAACAGGTGATGTAACACCCCAGAGAACCGGCGGAACAGCCGGAAACGGCAATAGAAAATCCGCTCATAGCCCACTCGCAGCCGTCAGCAGCGAACCAACAGGAGAAAGCACGCCAGTACGACATCCGTCCGGCGGCCGTCGAAACAAAGCACGACGCCTGCCAGGCGCTATGCCGCAAAACAGGTGCATCTAATTACCCCCACTTCCAAGCCGACATACTTCCATAGGCCGGCACCTGGCGGATACGGTAACGGTGCGTATCCACCGACCGACCGACGCGCAGGGGTGGTCGGGCTGTGCCCTCCCTGGCACCCGTTCGGCTTCGCACCCGTCCGTTTGGAGCTAGCTCGGGACAATCCGTCCGGTCGGGGACCAAGGACGGCCGCGGAGCGACCGATTTCGGAAGCCCACGGGCGGCCGGCGCCGGGTCCGCCGGCGGCACGCACGGATCACGTGAACCCTACACGTGACCGTCACTACCACCGCCTCGCCCTCAGCCGAGCCGGGCCGAGTCGGGCCGGGCCGGGATGGAACAACGACCGGCCGGCCCGAGAGAGGGACGCCCTAAAACGCAGCCACAAAAACACTCCCACGGCGTAGACCCACCGAGCTTTGGATGCCCTCTGAGGAAGAGAGAGACGTTCGGGACGAGACCGAGGTCGGACCTCACGTTCCAGCCAGGAGGTCGAAGCGTGACGGGTGGGCGACGCCGTGACGGTCCATCGACAGGGGCTTCAGAGGGGGCGCCAACCGCCACCGGCCGGTGATGGCGCGAGCTGACACCGTGCAGGGGGCAGTGCCAAACGAAACACGCACACCCCCTCCTACCTGCCTCCTGAGCTGCCAGTCCCTCCATATTTCGGGGGCGGCGATGAAGTGACGGGCGGAGGCGGAGGGAACACGGGGCGATGCCAGCCGTGCACAAACCGAGCAGACACAGAGAGGGGCACACCCCACGGGCGGAGGAGTTCCCAAAAGTGGTCTACAGTGAGATGAACAGCATGTCAGTCCCATTCGTGGTCGGCACCGACGGGCCACTTCGGCAAGTAGTGATCAGAGATAGTGCGAACCGGCGATCAGTTGTCGTGCGGATCGGTATATAGAAAGAGGCAAGTGAACAAAGAAGCTTCTACACTTCGGTATCAATCGCTAAGCACCATTCAATTCCAAGCCAAAAGACAAGAATAACCACGCCTTGCATGGCGTTGTCACGGTCACCTCGCCACCGCGTCGCTGCGTTAGATTTTCCTGCGAGCTCCATCCGGGTGGTGGCCCCTGCTAGAATAGCTGGCCGCCGCGCCAAGGCCGAGCTGCCGGCGGCGGCGGTCGGTGCAGCGCGGACGGCACGCCCCAGCTGCCCGACCCGGGCGCGCAGCCGGAGATTCCCGCCGGCCGGCCGGCGAGCGGCCACCGGACCGTACCACCATGACCTTGAGCAGAGCAGCCCAAAGCAACGCATCGAGATGCCATCCGACAGTGAGACGGGAACGAGCCCAAATGACGATGGGGTCGGATTTTTTTTTTTGCAATGATTGACGTCCTTAAGTTACATCAAAAAGGCATACAATACTTGAAAGGTAAATTGAGCACTCAGCTAAAGACAATTGAAAGCCAAAATAATGCCAAAAGCCTTGGCAACATAATAATAGTGATTATGTCACATTAAATAGCCTTTTTCAACACAAGATGAATGGAAACTAGATGGAGTGCAGCCTGTCTCAGGGCTTAACATTGTTGGATAACAGCATGATGGTCAATTACACCTGTCAATGGACAACAGCTATAAATAAAATACACATGACATACTATTTGCCAACCATATTAAAATTTCAAGTAGCCCCAACTCATTGTTTGATAAACTACATTCACCAGTAACTGCCCAACTTGCATGACTACACCAAAATCTACCAGAGGAAGCCAGAATATGTGGCCATTTCTTTCCACAGTAACACTTTTATTTAAAAAAAAAAATCATTTAACTGTCAATGCTGCTTTGCAGACCCTTTTACCTGAATGTTGAAATTTGACTCCAATGTTTGAAAATGCTTATTCACCATTGGAACCAGAGCATGTTGATGTACAAATAGTACCTACAGTAAACTCAACATTAGTTGTCAGGCATCATGCTGAATCTTTTTTCATCAGGCTGATGATGCCAACTTAAGGTCTGCAGGGACTTCTTGAAAAAAGGCTAGGACTTCTGCTCTAGGTCCTAGTCCCAGCTCCTAAGTCTTAGTCACTCTATCCAAACAGAGTTAGGAATTTTTGCTAATGCTTGATATAAGAAATATCTCACATTTCACAGACAGATGACTGAGCTCAGTCTTACCACTCATGTCCTTCAAGAGCTGCCAGGCAATTTTACTGTAACTCACACAGGTGAATTCAGGAGACAGACTGGTAAATCATAATTTCTCTTGTTAGGTATACCATGAAACAGGATAAATAATCATTAGGCTTATCTACTCAATATTTGATAAGGCTGAGCCAAGATAGGCCCTAATTAAGCGACAGATGGGAAACACAGTCACAGGACAAGCAGAAGATTATAACTCCAAGAAAATAATACCTGCAGCAAGATTGATTACACAAAATAAAATAGCATGGAAGAAGCTAGTATCTACTCTACTAAATCAAGTCCGCTTTTATAGAAATTGTTATGTGCAAATTTAAGAACACTGACTGTTTTTCCATCATAAAAGACAGACTAATTAGTTAAATAAATGCTTCTGGTCAGGTAACTATATGCATACTAAGCAGGGCATGACATTTAAATTTGCCATCATAATTTACTGTGAAACAGTAAGCATTATCCAAACCAGGCCCACTTACAAATCCAAGAAGATAATAGCAGCAGGTACCACAAGGAATAATTATATGTCTTAATTGTAATCGAATCCCTGAATTCAACTCGACAAGGTGACCATTGCCATCAACAAGTATGCGAAGGGCTCATTCTATTCAATGTACCTGTAGTACAGAACACTGAAAACAAATATTAATTTTTCATGAAATAAAATACATGTCTCTTTTGAGCATTTAGTTACCTTACAAAACAACTGAAAATTGATCAAGAACAAGAAAATGTGGCGAGACTGTGACTAACTCAACGCACTACATAGACCGACATAGGAATGAAGGACAAAGACACACGCTGCTATAGCATGCTGACAGCTCACCTGTGGAGTAGTAGCGAAGTTTTTAGCACTCCATTGTTGGTGTAGGGGAGCTCCGAATAAAGTAAAATTAATTTTCAAGTTGGAACAAGTCGGGATGACCCGACCCCGTCGAGAATATTCTGGGGACTCCGACATTGATGCTACCAGATGAAGGAAACCAGCAGCGTAATGTTTAAATAATATTCAGTCATCGTGAATTGTATCAAACACTTTGTGAAAATATCTTTAAGAGATGCTTACTTGACAAATTTTAGAAATTTCTGGTCGACTAGTGGAAGTGTATAACTCTGAACTGATGATGACTTGGTGTGATTTGTCTTCTGGGTAGGGAGAAAACTTTCCCATCAGCTGAGATTTGGTAGCTCACCCTATCTTATTTCTGCTTTTGCGAACTTTTTAGAATTGCCTTGATTATGAGGTTTCTTCTTTTGAAAATATTTATTTTTAATTAAATTCACATATAAAATATTTAATTCGAACATGTACGCTAATTTCTTATAAATGATCAAGCTTCTTTAGGCTGAGTTGCAAAGAAAACACGAACGGCTCGAATAAACAGAAGCATTCGCGCTGACAAATAGTTTCAAATCTGTCATTCTAATTTTGAATATTAATGACAAATATGTAATGAAATTGCAAAATAACAACGTGAAATTAATTACAAAATTCAAATTGCTCCAATATATATTTTTATTGCCTTAGTAATACGATTCGTGTATGAGCACTAATTGTGAAAACCAAAACAAACGGACAGCAGAATCTACTTGCAGTTTCATTGTCCGGAGCGGAGGAGGTTGCCGTGTTTCATTCGCTGCTCGAGTTGGGATTTTTACTTTGTTTATCTAGTGCCGATTAAGGCATTAGTTGTCTGCAGAGCGTCTGTGATAGTTATCAGTGTATTCAAGCTCTCATGTTGTTTGAAGACGACCCAAGGGACCCAGTGCCCGTACAAGAACCAAGCCCCCTCCACCAAGAAGTGGGAGGGCACCACAACCAGGAACGATTGCTTAGGTTCCATCACCTTGCAATAATTGGTTGCCTGGCACCAGAATTTCTTTACATTCGAACATTTTAAGTTGTTTACCATGTATGTCATTCTCACGAAGGATGGCAGCATTGTCTTGGTGTGATCTCATCTCAATCTTCAGAACCATGGACTCATACGAGCTATGCTGAATTCATAAGTGCTCTGAGACCAGGTAAGGATATGTTCAATATGCTATGCTATTGCTTAGATTTAACACTTCTTTTACTTTAACAATCCCATTTTATTTGTGTGTTTTTGTGTAAGTCATACTGCGGAGTCTCAATAGCAATTGGTAGGTATGATGTTAATGCGTACAAGTTGCAGTGGGTACAGTAGGTACCTGACAAATGAAAATTTGAAACAATGGCTTTTAAAGCGCTTATTGTTATGCTTATTCCAGAACATATGAGCATGCTCAAGTCTTTAGATTAAGAAAGGTCTTATAAAAATCCTGGTGCATTCTCTATCACTTATGATGTGTGTTTTTCAGGCTGCTATATCCGAGAGTGACCATGGCTGACCAAGGCAGGACGATGGGCAGCGGACAGCAGAAGGTGCTGCAGCTTCTCTGTGATGACCTGAAGAAGGAGAAGGAACAGTGGAAGGTGCAGAACTATGCCAAACAGCCAGATGTGAGTAATAATTTCAGCCATGCTAGGAACTTGTGGAAGGGTTTCCCAATCCCAAGCTGACCATTGAGGTCAGCCTGCTCCATGTATATCTTAGCAAACCACCTGAAGAATCAATCCAGGTCCTTTTAAATGATGATTTTCATTATTCACTTTATTTGCATTTATCAATGCTTATGTTCCCTCTTTGTAACTTTTCCTTAAGGTTTGTTGTATAATTCAGCTTCTCATTGTTTTTTTTTAAGATTATTCAGCTCTCTTTGTCTATAAAGGTGCCAATATCCTTGCCATTTTATGTTGCAATTCAGCTTATAACAACATCAGATTCTTACAAAGCATAAAGCTTTGAGCCCCAGAGACCCTCTTGGACTCAGCTAACTCAATGTTGAGCAGGTACATTGAGAGGTTCGAGGTCGTGGCCCCGAGAACCGTTCTATCGCTGACCGTGCAGGTGCCGCCTTCCCCCCCCCCCTCCCCTACGCACGGTCCGCCCCTCCCCGCCCTCTGTATGACGCAATCCGATATCGGCCGGCCGCCGTGGCGCGTGTGGCTCGGCCCGTGGCTGTTTACCGGGCTCCTCGGCCGGCGCCTGGCAGCCCAGGTAGGTGGCTGTTTACCACCGCTGCGCAGATGGCAGATGCAGCCGCCGCTTTTGGCAGGCGCCGCCCACTTGGACCGAGGCGGGACGGGGCGGGACGGACGGACTGGTTAGCTAGGACCGGGTGCCTCCTGCGGGCTCCTGTAAAGGAGGAAGCGTCCCCGTGCTGAAACCGTGTCCCGTGCTTAGTGTAACGGGGCCAAGGCCGCCGTCGTCGCTGGGCCGCTGCAGCCCGGCCGATGTGCTCAGAGCGGGTCAGCTGATCGCCGGTCCAGCCACATTCCTATTGCGTGAGAATTGTGATGCAAAACCGGCGGTCTTGAAATAGGTGACCCACTTGTGCAGGCGGACTTTTTTTGAGCGGTCGAGTTTGAGGCGAACGGGAATTGGAGAGAGTGGATTGTCCAAACGGAGCGATAGGGTGTAGCGACGGCACCTAGCGGACTGATCAGGTAGCTGTGGTTCGGTCATGCGCCACCTAGTGTCGCTGCTGGCTCACGTTTGCTTTGTCGAACTGTGGCATTCGTAATCTAGTAAGTATTTTCTACCTACTTTCCTAAATTCTGAAAATCGTATTCCCAGTCATACATCTACCCAGTGAAATACCCACTGTTAACTCAACATTCCCTTCGTTGTGTTATTCCTACCCACTCGACACTCCAAACTGGCCTTGGCCTTGTTTACCTTCATGGTGACAATGTCTGACGCTGGGTCTCTCTCTCTCTCTCTCTCTCTCTCTCTCTCTCTCTCTCTCTCTCTCTCTCTCTCTCTCTCTCTCTCTCTCTCTCTCTCTCTCTCTCTCTCTCTCTCTCTCTCTCTCTCTCTCTCTCTCCCTCTATCCCTTGCATCCCCCTTCTCTCTGTTCCCTCCAGTTCCTTTCCATCTCATTAGCCCTCACTGGTACGATGCTCATCGTCTCGTCTTTCTTGCTCTCCCTCCCTTTTCCCCTTCTCCTCTCTCCCGACCCCCTCCCTTCCCTACGGACGTACGGTATACAGCTGTCGTCATATCAGCCCCGTCAGCAGGGTGGGTCGACGGGAGCGTCCCCGGCTACCCCCGGCCGCTCCCAGTGGCACCGATCAGCTGTCCGCTGCCGGCTGCCCTCGGCCGCAGATGTCCGACAAAAACAATCTCCTCGGGTACACAGAGGGCACCGCTCGGCCGCCAGCTGACGCAGCAGGCCAATGACGTCAAACGGGGGATGAGATGTTTATGAAGTGGCAGTGGAGTGGCCGCTTTGTGAATGTTATGAAGTGGTGCGCTTTTTTATTTGGTTTGTTGGAATTCTTCAGTGAATACTAACGGTTTAATTTTGACACTATCTGCGTTTTTATCTTGAAAGAAAGGATGGTGTTGATGGCTAGCGCCCCAGTAGCATTCCCCTGTCAGTGAGCTTCCGACAGCTAAATTTATCTCGCTCGAATCTTAAACAAAGCGATCGCAGGATCATGTCAATCACCGTGCGATGTTTGGCTCGGGTTTCCGCTGCCATCACGAACCTTTGGGGTCTCCATAGCTGACTGGCTGCTGCCCTGGTTCATACGGGCTCACATCGTGTCGTGTCCCATCCGAACCGAACCGGCCCGGTCATTGTCCGATACGGAACCGTCCGCCGTTCTCTGGTTGTAGTGCGCAGCTGAACTTTCTGCCAGTGGTCGATCAAACTGGTCCCCGGAGATTGACGACTCAGATCAGAGGGCTGACAGAAAAGAACGAAAGGGTCGGTGAACCCGAACCGTCCTGGGGTGATCCCGCGGTCGGGGTCGCTCGAACGATAGGAACGGGCGTATGAAATCCCCGTTGATAGGAGCACCGGATCTATGACGTCACAGATTCCCGTTGCATCAGCTGATGGGGTGAAGAACAAAGAGTGGTATGATAGCGGCTCGCGCGGTATTGACCAAACCGGTAGTTCCTGTTCGTGAAGCGGTGACGCGTCAGGTCAGCTGCGTGGGTCGACAGCGAGCTATAATGGGAAGTCGGGACGGGCGAGCGTTAGTCATTGCCATATTTGGAACAGAACTGCGAGTGCGTAGGATATATTGGGGCTACGAACTAGAGCGTTACTTAATTTGGATAGGGAAGTGCAATTGATTTAGGAACCTTAGCGGCGGTTAGACTGCTTCTATTGGATTCCAACTGAGCACGTACGGTAATGCTAGCCGTGAGCTGGCTGTGCCAGTGAACGGGCCGGTCGAGGCCACTGCGAACTTAGTCGTGTTGACGGCTCGGTCTGGCTTAAGCACGACACGATCCGTCCGTGCGACATGGGTGCAGCGGCCGGCGGCGTCCGATGGGACTGATAGGCCGCCAGCGCTGCGCAGTAGGCGTCCGTATGGCCATACTGAGACGTAACCGTGTCACGTTTATTTCATATACACACCGGCAGCGCGCACTGAGTCCTGCCGCCCGCTCTGCGTACTCTGTATAATGCCTTGAGCAAGCCACCTACGAGAGGTGAGCGTACATTCGCTAACGCAATAAACACACACATCGATATCATGTGGCATAACAAGGAACACCGACCTCACCACGTAGCTACATATCGCACGCACCACACCGTACTTTTCCCACGTCAAAATTATACACATGCCCCTTTGTTTGGTGGCTGGAGCATCCCCACTCATTCTCAGGCCCCTTATACCTATATTCTCGCCACTCGCTCTCAGCCAAGGCCCCATAGTCTCCTCACGGACCGATCTCGTACGTAGTTGAACAGATTCCGGTGCTTCTCAGCGTCTGTGACGCCGTCTTGCGGCCCGAACTGCACCCAGGTCCTGCGGCGCTCGCCGCCAGACGGCGCGGCGGTCGGCGGCGGCAGCCAGCGGTGCCGCGGCGCCGGCGAGGTGGCCGGTATCACGGGAGCCGCTGAGGGGACCGGCGGCAGACCCCGGCGCCGCTCGGCGTACGCCGGCATCACGCCCTGGGCGCCGCCGGAGGGCAGCCCGCGCCGCAGACCGAGCCGGTACCTGCCGGGCAGCAGCTGTCCGCCGGTCCTCACCGACTGCTGGTGCTGCTCGCGGACCGGCGCCGGCGCGTCCAGCACCAGGCCCGGCCGGAAGGTGGTGGCGGCCGCCTCGGTCGGCGCCGCGCCGCCCGCCGCGTAGCTCTGCTGCACGCCGCTGAGCACGTCCGAGCCGTACTCTGAGATGTAGCCGCGCCGGCTGGGCCGGTACGGCCGGCGCCGGAGGGCCAGCAGCGCCCCGGGCAGCCGGCCCGCGCCGCTGTCACCGCCGCTGAGGGAGCCGGGGATCAGGTGACCGCCCTGGTACCGGTCCGCCGAGGCTGCCGGGTCCTGGTCCAACGGAGCGGACGCCGAGTCGTCCGGCTCCGGTCCGTGGTCCGACTCTGGGTCTATTCTCTGGTGAGGTGCCTGATCTGGATCGTGCTCTGGTCTCTGATGGGGTCTCTGCTCTGAGTTTTGTTCTGGTCTGTGGTCCGGTCGGCGGTCCTGCTGCTCGATGCTCTGCTCCGTTCCCTCATCCGACCACTGTTCCGTCTGCTGCGGCTGTACGGGCTCCCTCTCGTACTCCGTCCTCTGCTCTGGCCACTGGTCGGGCCGGCGGTAGTCGATGGCCGCGCCTGCCGCCTCCCTAGGCCGGCCTCTGATCGGCTTACCGCCGTGTCCCCCAAACTGGTCCCAGGGCGGGCCACCGGAACCACCCACATCCAGCCGATTCCAGGCCACCGCCTGGTGTCTGTCCCAGCCGAGGTGCACCGTGGGTACCTCCGGCGGGGGCTCGATCGGAGGTGCGCCGCCCCAGTCCACGTCTCCTAGGTGGTGCGGCTCGAGCGCCGCCAGCGGCTCCTCGCCTGTGGGGGGCGCCGGCGGCAGGCGACCCACGATCACCGGTGGAAGGCCCGTCGTTGTCGATGTGGTGGTCGACGGCGTCGTCGTCGTTGGAGGCGGCGGCGGCGGCGGAGGCGGTGGACGCGACCCGACTGGCCTCGGTGGTCGCGGCACGGGGTTCTTCAGCAGCGAGGACAGAGCCCAGAAGAAGCCATGCGGCGGCTCAGTGCTGCCGCCGGCGGCAGGCGTAGTGCTGGTGCCGGCGCTGGTGACGGTGGTGCTGGTGATGGTGATGAGGTCCGGCGGCGGCTCTGAACCGCGCACGGCGTGGCAGTGAGGGTACAGGTCGGAGCAGGAGCGCTGCATCCAGCCGGCGCGCACGGCCACCAGGGTGTCCTCCAGCGTGATCCCTGCGCCGAGGTCCTGCAGCCACCAGCCGAGCAGCAGGCTGTGGACAGACGCAGAGACACGGCGGTCAGCGGACACGGCCCAGACGGGACACAGCGGTCACACTCACAGGGCTGACCAGGTTCAGTGGAGGGCGCTAGTTTGGCAGTCGAGGTCGGACGACTGGAGGGTCGTGTGAGGGGGCTGGAGTTGTACGGGCAACTTGAT